AAGGCAAATTATGTCAAAAGTATGAACCCTCGTGAAACAAAGTTTGCCCACCAAAGTTAATATATTTTTTTTCTTATGGCTGTGATCATAGCAACGCTTTTTATCTTTCATAATTTTTTTTTAATAATTTTTTTTATAAATTTGCATATAATACGGTGTTACAGTTACTACGGAGTGACGACCCTATCATTTAAAAATGGGGAATTAGGGGTGAACGCCGACCCTTAAATTCCACGTACACCGTATGCCCCCTTTTTATCTTTCATATATTTTTTTCAATAATAAATTTTATAAATTTTCACATAATACGGTGTTTCTAAAGATCGGCCCTATCATTTGAAAATGGGAAATTAAAGGCGAACGCCGACCCTTATATCCCACGTACACCGTATGCCGATCGTTTTCAGATAAATTTTCATTCATAAATATCGATTGGTATGCTCGATATACCTTATACCTTCATTCCAAAGCTCGTTTCTTTTTTTAACAATAAACAATAATTATCTTCTTCAGCCTTCAGCACAAGTTGCGCGGTAACCCTCATATTTTGCTTGTACGTTGATGAGCATATGCATAATTACCAAAAACGCAGAAGGCATACGTTACATTATCGTGGCACATTTTTGCAGTGGGGCTACAATAGATCGTAGGTATACCTAAGAATTTCCCCATCACTTTAGCAGGTCTTACGTCAGAAAATTTTGTTAACCAATGGTATGAGTTACTTACCTCAGTCATAGTTATTGATAAACTTATTGCTGAAAAACTCTAAATTGAAGCTTTTTAAAACTTACGATTTTTCTGTTCCCCACTAATAATCCTAATGATCTTCATCCGCTTACCCTTTGTAGCACTTTTTATCTTTTGGTACACAGCGAACGGCTACTTTTCATCTGGAGAGCAGATGGGTCGGAGTTCAAAATCAAAGTTTAATTTTTAATGAAGTTTTTAATTATTTACTCAAATATTTAAAATTCAATATACACCTAAGTATATATTACTAAAAGGGCGCCACGCAATTTTTATTTGATTTGGTTTAAATTGCGAAACCAAACTTAGAGAACATCTGCAAAATTATTAATTGGTGAGAGTGGAACAATAATAATTAAAACAACACTTCAATCTTCGATTGAATAAAATTCTATTTGTCAATAATTATCGATGGTTATTCAAGTCACATTGTAATCACAAAATATATATAGCCAATTCAAAATAGGAGTACCTATGAAATAAATATGTTAAATAACCAGTACCCACCTATTTAATGGTAGATACTTAAAGTAGAGTATCAGTGTAATTATAAGTTTCTTTTCAAGGAAGAAAAAAGATATGTAAGTTAATGAATCTTAAAATTTATGGAACTTGTTTAACCTGGATATTAGGTTGTCTAATTGACACATTTAATTATCTCATACCTAGAACCTAGAACCCCATAGTCGACTATAGTTCACAATATTGCTCAATGGTATTCTTTTTTTTGAATTATGGTTCGTGTAGTGATTTTGTGATTCACGTTAACGTTGAGAGCACAAAGCCCCTTCAAATAGGGATAAAAATCACCCTGATTGACAGAATCTTAAACAATAATTTTATGTAACCCTTATGGGTTAAAAGGGAAAATATGTGAATTATAATATGGTTATTTAAAGAGAGAAAATAAATAATTAAACAGCAATAAAAAATAATAATCTGAATGTTCTGAAAAATCTGAATATGATAGCAATTAATTTGTTAATGAAGTGGTTTAAATAATAATGATAAAATATTCTGGCCTGTTTATCCTCGAAGCGGTCACAATCTCAATTCTACGACGAATAATTCAACCAATAGAGTACGTCGTGTCTCGTGTCTCGCGACTCTTAAAGTCAGCGAGTCTTGAAGTACTGAATTTCTTAGGGCAGGAATTACAGGGCGATGATGGTATGGGGTGCAAACTACCAAACATACAGGTATATGGTATAATCAACCAATAACCAACGGTCCAATTCTTGGAGTCGACTCCCACGCGGATCCTACAGGGTAAAAAACACACATGTCACAAATGGGGCGGAAAAGTGGGATAAAAGAGTTGTGGAAATATATTCCAGATAAAGAAATTAATGCTTGAGCAGCTTACCTTGATTGGATTCCACAAAACACAACACAAAAAGCGATTCTGGCACGCCAAAGATTCTGGATTAATAACCCAGGAAGTTAAACAGAAAAACCTTCTTTTCTTTGGCTCTAGTACTCGATGGCCCCTTGATCCATTGATAGAAAACTTCAACAAAACTCTTCAAAAGGTATTTGGGCAGATGATACCCGATTTCTTTTTGGACCAAGAAAAAGGCGTGTTGAGTCACAAAGAAGCAGTACCAGAATGGCGGTCCCCAGAACCCGTAAAATTGATTCCACCAGATTCGATGACAGCGGAAATCCAAGAAAGAAGAAAGCGCGGTTAATTTGAATGTGTACGAAAATTCAAGGAATTGTGCAAAATAAATTTGGCAACGATGCAAACTTCAAATTAGGAACTGACCATAGCCCGCGGCAGATACTGGTTGACATTTAACAGCTGGGAATTTCAGCAGCAAAATGTGAAATAACAACAATGGACAAAAGGACTTCTAAACCCAAAGTACCAGTCTCTAGGAGCCAATCAGTGGTTGTTATGCAAGATTAACCCTTGTGAATTCATCCCCTTGCTAGCTAAGCTAACATACCAGGTAAGTATTGTTTATTTGCTACCATTACGTGAAAGTTGAAATAATTAATAATTCCCATTTGTTTTATAGGCTAAAGCAAGTTAACGCCCTCAACCCCTAACCGTGGGCTAGTGGAGAAGATGCGTTCTTCATCCTTTAATTGAGATAAACAGATGATGATGACCAAAACAGGGTTATGTGTTTTAAAGTAATGAAAGCGAAAGTGGAATTTGAATAGGTTAAGTTTGTAAATAAAAAATATGATGTATTATGTTGTATGATTGAAATTAAATAAAAAATTCAACCGATGGGAAATCCCATCCTTAATTATTGTTTCAAGAAAAAATATTATATAACTAGATAGGTAAATATCCTCTTTGATATAAACCTTTCACAAAAAAAATGAAGGGTAGCATTTAAAGAAAACTCAAATGCTACACCTTGATAATTTTCTTATTGGACTTGATTGACTTGATTCCTAGAAAAGGTTATGTTACTTTTTTACCATCCATAGACCACACGTATGGATAATCGGTTGAAAATCTTGGCAAAGATGCGCCCTCATTTATTATACAGCAAATCTTTCAAAAACGATGGTCTGTTGAGCCTATGTTAACCGTCTACCAACTAGAGCTTATGTGATTAAAATTACAACCAAACTTGAGAGTTATTGATCTTCTGCTCTGAAAAGAGGATCATTTCTAAAATGGTATTTGATAAGACTGTCCATTTTTAAAGCTTCAACCTAGAAGTGGTGCTCGTTTTATGTAGCACAGTGCCACAGTTGTAACCTCAAGTGGAGTGTTACAGTTTTTAAAGTACCGTTTCCTCCAGTACTACAATGTGAAAGAGGTTCTCCTTTATCCGCGGCTGCTCCTCTAGCAAATCCTTTCAATTATTAAGTACTAGCTGACCCGGCGAACTTCGTTCCTCCTCTGAATTATTAAATACCTATTAAATGTTGTGTTAACGTATCTAAAGTGCGTTTTTTTTTCAAAGATAAAAGTCAAAATGACATTATGTTGGCAATACAATGTAAAATTGTCAATGCTTTCAAAATTTGTATGTAGAAAAGGCTTGTGTTGCCAACATAGTTACTAAATTTTTGAATTGGGGAATTATCTTTAAAAAAAAAAACAAATTTTATTAACTGAATTAAATTCAGTTTTTTTCGCTGGTGAATTTGGCTTTGGTTGAAGAAAATTAATTTTTACTCTCTGGATCAGAAGTCCCCTAATATTAAAATTTTACATCATCCCTTTTTAGGCATCTTGTGGGCATTATTCTTATAAAGTCTACCACCAAATAAATAAACTCAGGCACAAGATTGTTCAAAAAATGTAAAGAAAACAAAAAAAATCTCCAGCGCAGCCCTGTTTCATTTTATCTGCACTGCAATACTCCATCTGTTCTACTGTATCTGCACTATTCTATCTGATCTACTCTTTCTGCACCACTTTATCTGATCGGAATAGTGGAACAGTTCTGTTTGGAATAGCTCCAGTTCCTTAGCAGTATTCTGTTCTACTGTATCTGCAATGAAATTACCGCACAACGGCGAGCTTCGTTCTAGGTACCTATCATATATGGCGCCGTATACAAAATGGTTGTGGCGGACTCATAACCTGGCTCTCTGCCACTCGACACCAGCCGGACGGAGCACTCCGAACAGTCGCCACGGAACACGGCTGTCAAGGGATGCCTAAGAGGAGAAACGGAACTTAGCCACAGAACGTCAATGGTCAAGCGTCAAGAAATGACAAGGAGACCAGTTCGCGCTCTTTCGGAATGAACGAACCAACAACAAAATAAAATACACAATTAAAACATTTTCATTCTATTTATTTTTGGACATTTTTACTGTGAAGAACAATTAAAAATAAAGTGCTTTCCTCAAATTGTATTTGTGCAAAGTGTGTGACAATAAAATCCACATGGTTTGCAATGAAAATGTGACGGTAAACTTGGTATCGGTTATAAGAGATGGCGCCGTATGCGGGCTTAGTGAGTTTTTTTCATAAATAAGTAAAATAGATTTTTTTTTTTTGGATTTTTTCGATTCAATAAAGCAAAAATCATAGAAATCAGTCCAGCCGTTCTCGAGTTATAAGTGCTCAACACCAACACAACTGTGTTTTATATATATAGATTAGGAGAAAAAACTTTTCTACTATCCAAAGACCACAAATTTCTTTTGACCATCTCACAAGAATTTCGACCCAAAAAAAAAACAGTGGAAACGATGAGATACATACGTACTAATATATGCATGCCCAGCAGGTTAGCTGGTCGATAAGAAAAATAATCAACTACAGTTTATTGCCGGTTATTTAAAGTTTATTGACAATAATTATTATAGTTGATAGATATTTACAATTGTCCTATGTTAACGCGGTGTTTTCCAAGACAGCCGAATAATTCAAGAGCAGTATCTTCTTTAGAGTTTTTGTTCACATTACAATCGTCAACAATGCGGTTGATTTTGCCATTGTCGGAAATTCCCACCTCGGCAGCACGTCTTATTCCTTCTGGCAAAACATTTCCTCGGTTGTCTTGAAGACCCAATTTAGTTAACATACAATTGGCATGTAGTCCAAAGTTAGATGGAAGAGTAGGTTTTTGTCCTCGTTTCAGTTGTTCGAAAATATCGTCATCAACATAAGTTTCTGGAGATTGTTGACACTGCTGATGGACTCGGTTCCAACGTTCTTGGACAGGGTCAGCCTTAAAAAGTGAGAAATTTGAATATAAGATTCTATTGCTTAGAAAACAAAACAGATTTTGGAAATGTTTACATTTACTTCCACAAAATTATGAATTTATATCGATCAATGTCAATGATATACAATATTTTCTATTCGCGGTATTTATTCCTAAATTCCAGAAACCTGGATACCTGAAATTGAAATGTTTATACCTAGAGGTCTGGTGCTTCAGAGAAAATTAATAATTTTAGTTTAACTATTTATTTGATTTATATTGGTGGTAATAATTATCAAAATTAATTCGGAAAATATTTAAATTTCAATAGTAGAAAACTCTATTATCATCTATTGAGCCTCTTGTTTTTCCTAAGATCTAAGTTCAAATATAATAATAATATAAATAATTATTCAAGACAATATAAACAAGGGAAATTTACTTACCAAAACTACCGCAAAACAGCAGAGTACAAATACAAAAGATTTCATCGTGCTTGTGTTATGTTAGACTTATTTGATTGTGCATTTTGCCTCGATCTGAAGCCACTTTTATATACCTGAAAAGAAATAATAAAAAATGCAAACTGGGATTACCGGGCAATATTCACAAGAATATGCTAATCAAGCAGGAAAAATTGAATACTAAGAAAGTTTGTTTTGTGTTATTTTGCAGATAAATTTATTGTTTTGGTTGTTTTGATCGGTTTATTTTGATGGAATTTCTTATTGTGCATCTCTTCAGCATCATGTGGGTTATCACCTTGCTGTTGATTTTTAGAAGTATAATGCAGTCAGGTTAATAATTTGACCTGTACTATATTTAAATTCCGCGAAATAAATACACAAACTGGGATATTATATTTAACTTTCAATAATAACAAATCATTCCAATTTAGGTATATTATTTTCCATATTGCGGATAAAGTCTCAACTCTGTATCAAAAATAAATTTTTTTATGAATTATATCATTTATATCTTAATCGGTATCTATTATACAGGGTGTCAATAAATACTCTTCAAAACATCAAGGGTATGTGGAACTCGTCAAAAAAATAAGAAAAGTGTCAAATTTGGTTCTGGAAAAAATTATTGAAAAAGAAAATACATACTTCTTCAAGTCTTGAGAAAATGCCAAACAGAAACTTTCTGCTAATAACTATTTCCTATACCTATTTGAAAAAATTATGTTTGTGTTGTTTTTGTAGATGGTGCAACGAGTGGTGGAGTCTATTAAAGACGCATTATTGCCTCGATGGACATAGGTATTGTGAGACACTGCCGATTCCATACTAAATATACCACAACCAGCTTTACGCGACCTGTTAATTGGGTAAAATCCTGACTTGACATATAATCTTCTTGAACGATTTAAGTAAAGGCCCATTGTGGTTCAATCATCAATTGAAGCCCCAAGAAATTCTATCCGTCCAGGATTTTCTCGACTGGCATGTTAACGAAAAGGTGTCTCACTACGGCGTGGAACTTCTTACTTATTCTCTTGCAGCTAATGGGTGAAGTAAGCTGTCATGTCCTCGTTAGAGGTTTGGATAAGCGCCCTGTTATCCGACAAAAATTTGGAAAACATCTTGGTGTTCTTCCCCACGGCGCGAGTGTGATCGAAATCGTTTTTCAACTCAAAAATTCCTTTTCCAATTTTTTTTTTTCAAATTTGGCAGGTATATTTGTGATAATGAAAGGTGTCATTTAAGTGAAATATGACTTGCTTAATCTGAAAAAAATATCAAAGATTTGAAAAAATAGTGATGTGTCATTTTTTTCTACTTTTACCAAAAAATCCTGTATATTTTTCTATTTTCTGATCACCCTGTACATGCTATTTCAAGTTTTAATAGTTTAATACTATTTTTCCAAGAAGCAGAAACTTTTATAAGGAATAACTTTTTTTCGTAAAATTGATAGGTAATTAAAAAGTTTCCCATATGCTGCGAACTTGAGTGGACACACTGTATAACACGCAAGAATGATTCAAGAAAACGTTGAGAATCACTTGTAAACAGAACCTTCAGAACATACACGCCAGAATCAAGAAAACAGATTCAGAACTAGATCATCCAACTTCAGGAAATTATGTAGGGTCCCGAGTTGTTGAGGCTCAGGTGTCTAACAGCAACGCGACAGCAACGTCAGCTACATATCCCTGTATTGCGAATTCTCCCGAAGAAAACAATTTCGAAACAACACAGGAACGAATCCAAAGATTGAAGAAGAGAAACACAATCAACTGGAAGTAGATCTGAAGTGCCTAGATTAACTGTTAAAAGTGATTGTATCAATTGAAAGCCATTAACCATTGGGACGATATTACAACAATTTACCACAGGCAGTCAAGATTGGTGGGCATGGCAAAAACATGGTACCTAACTCTTCTTAAACGTAGTTTTCCAAACCATACTAATTAGTCGATTCTTTCGCAAACAAGTTAAATTATCTGAATCGATGACATCGTACTATTTTGCAAAGATGGAACTCTTGAGAAGCTGCCGCGTTGCTGGAAAAGAAGCAGTTTCCTGCCTTATATATGGGACAGATGATCCAGTTACTCAAAATAGTGCCAGAGCTGGACGTTGATGTTTATCCAAAACAAAAAGAACAAGTGAAATTGCCAACAGGGTCTTCAGATTTAAGAAACCACATAAGAAATAAGCAGAATAAATTTGAATCAAAGTGCAACGGGTGCATATAGCTTCGAAATGTTCAAAACACAGGAAGGACTGTAGAAAATGTAAGTAATTGGGACACGAAGCAAAGAAGTGCCCCAAGCAAAACTTTAACAAACCTGGTAAGTCTAATCCTATTTATAATATGGAAACTGCTCAAAATAATTGTGAGACAAATTTATGTTACTTCATCGATTGCTCTATAAATCAGAATATTTTACGAGGATAATATGTCGATTCCGGCAGTAGTGTCGTTATTTTACTTGCATCTGACGTCAAAGCTTCAGGATGACAACTACATCCTGTACAGAAACGTCTGAGTGGATTTGCAAGGTGTTCTTTAGTAATTATAAACCATAAAGTTGTCATTGATCTAACTGTTGATCTGGCTAAAGCAAAAGTTGAACTTCTTGTTGTACCCGATCATGTACAAAATGTTTCAATAATTGTTGGGCAGCCTTTTATTAATCACCCAAATATAATCATGGTGACGTAGAGGTCAGGTTATACTTTTTAATTTGCATTCATATTGCTGAAATTTGCATTGATTTGAATGACAAAACACCTGTTACTTATCAACCATATCGTTTAGCCTTCGCTGAGCGGGGAAAAGTTAGAGACATAGTTCGAGAATTACTTGACAATAATATCATCAGGAAATCTTCTTCTCCTTATGCCAGTCCAATTTTATTGGTGCGCAAAAAGAACGGCGAATCGCGTATGTGCGTAGATTATCGTGCTTTGAACGCTGAAACTATTAGGGATAAATATTCTCTGCCGCGCATTGATGATTTACTGGATGGACTCAAAGGTTCTCGATACTTTACTAGTTTAGAACTTGCTTCTGGATATCATCAGGTGCCAGTTGCCTCGAATTCTATCGAAAAGACAACTTTCATAACCCCCGATGGCCATTACGAGTATGTAACCATGACATTTGGTCTCGTAAATACGCCTGCAGTCTTTCAGAGGACAATTCATAAAATTCTAGGTTCTTTACGCTATACTAGCAGCACTTAATCCAGTGTCTCGGTGCTTTCAGCCAGCACCTGTCCAAGGAAAACCTTTCTGGCAGGGTTCCTAGCGCGCATTGCATCTCCTACCAACATGTTGACCAATTTTTGAATTTGATCTTTGGTGTTTGTTGACATCTTGAGGTGAAGTTCTAAAGATTTTCTTTTAGATATTCTATTCTGTTTTTTCGAAAGTTTTTTGCTAGTCCTGCATCTGAGTCTTGAATTAAGAAGCAATGGCAATATTCCCGGAATTTTCAAAATTGTCCATCTCATAACTCTGGAACTGGGGAACATAGAAAGCTTTTGTTGATACCAAACTATTTATTTAATTTACGCAAATAAATATTATATTATTGACAAAAAATTAATACGAAAAACTAAATATTGTCCGTCGTTTTTAATCTGACACTTTCCGTATGAGGATCGAGGGGGTGAAGCATATGGCAAAAACAGGTGTGACGTCAAGTGACCATTGGCGTTCTAACGTAGGGTGCCACCAGCTCACATTCCTTTGCAGTATCAGATTAAAATCGACGGACTTTATGTCCAAAGCTATTACCTACACATATTTTTGAATTAAGAAACAAGCGGATGGGTGCCTACCTACAGCTATACTATGCAATAAAATTTTAGGCAATTTTTCTAGCAATAAACTCGTCTTCCTTTCCATGAATTTGCTTATAAAATTGATTGAAATTATTAAAAATTCATGAGTATTAGAAAAACCGATTATTGATCTAGGTGCAGGTAAAACCGTTTATTGAAATCTCAACCTTGACTTTTCCGGCCAGTAAACATTATATTATTATATAATATATGGAGCACCGAGTACCTGAAATAATTTTAAGGTTATACTCTTCTCAATTAATTGCACTAAAATTCCAAACTTAAGGCAAAGGGTAAAGGAAAAAATTATATTACTTATATAAGGTTACTATTACCTTAACTTTTTTTAGACAAAGAGTGGTCATGTAGCAATTTAATTGTCACTACAATGTCAATTGTTCAATAATGGAAATTCATATAAATAAATAATATATATGTTTAATTTAAAACACCAAAAGGAAATAATTACACACACCATTAACCCATGTTGATGTTAGAAATATACTTATATCTAATCATATAGATATAAATCTCTTCGGTTCATATAAAATATGGGTTCCCATACACAAACAAAACATAGTTCAAATTGATTTCCATCAAACCATAATGATGAAATATCTATTCTTAGTAGTAACAGTTTTTGCCGCCGTTAAGGTAAGTCGTCATGAAAGTTCAATCTATTATTTTCTATCGATCTGTTCATTAAAAAGCGGTCCAACAAATCAACACCTATTTTCATATATTTTCCTTTTCTACTACTGAATATTTATTACATGGATGAGACGAACTTGATAGCTATTTGGGTGATTCAGATCACCATTCTTCAAAATATAATTGGGTGAATAGAAATCAAAAATATTTCTCATGGTGGTCAGAAATGTGTGGGACAAGAAAAGACAAATGGAAGTGTATTGTACTTGACCGAAAATATTCATATAAAAAAGAAGTCCTAATCTGGTTTTAGCAACTAATCTAGATTCAGACCTTAATTACGGTGCATTTAGGCGTGACGCCCAAATGATATTCAAAAATCTAATGATTTATCACTATAATCAAAAATGGAATGATTTATGTAAAAGACCGTAGTCTTTAATGAAACAAATGAAGCTTTCAAATAATTACCAATATATTCAAAATGAAATTTATAAAATCAATCAACCGACTCGCACAGTGATATCGATATTAGCCTGACTGTTC